GATAAGTTTGGTTTCAAAATAGCAGCTCTACTGTCACAGATACAGAGGGTCTCCAGGACAAATGCAGGGGAAGCATCCTTGCCTCCTGTCTCTGCTTCCTTGAATCTATCCCTCTCCTCCTCTCTCCCTTTTAACTCTACTTTCCTAACCCTGAGGAACTGACTCCACCTGCAAAAAGATGATGCCTAGAGCCAAAGTACTGGGCTTCTACTACTCTTCCTTTCACCTGTCAGAAGAAACAAATACGTTCATCTGCTAAACAGGTTGTCGAGACAACACGTCCCCATTTCACCAGTCTCATGTAAAATAATGACAATGATCTCTAAGGTATCCCTGAAGCACCTCATTGGGTGAATGCCTATATTATACACAAACATTCAACTATGTTTGACCAGTTTAGACAGGAAACAAAGCAAGAAAAGACACTTTTACGTCTTTGAGGTCAAGGTCCCAGAACAATAGAAAGCACTAGTTTTAGGGGGATTCTCCTCACTGTTTCGGTTCAGTGGTGTTACATGTTCATTGTTGGCTCAGTACCTTTCGAAGGGTCAAGGACCCCTCTGAGACCTGACTACAGTACAAGCACACCTCATTTTATTGTGCTTTGAAGATAGTGCACAGTTTTTACAAATTAAAGGTTTGTGGCAACCACGCATTGTCAGATGATGGTTAGCATTTTTTAGCAATAAAGTATTTTCTATGTGACTCGCTTTATTACAATACTCACTTTACTGCAGTGGTCTGGAACTGAACCCGCCATATCTCCAAGCTATACCTGTAATGGGCTCTCTTCCCAGAAAAAAAAATGGCATTCACACAAACCTGCAGGCAAATTCAAAGGATTCATGGATCCCTTGCAACCTGACCATTTACCCCAGATTAACAAGCTAATGTGGATCAGCAATAACATATTTACTTTATCTATGGAAATGAAATACTTGATGTCATGATTTTGAGGATATGGAGTTAAATAACAACATTAGGGAAATGTAAGGAAAGATAGCTTTCTTTCCCTACCTTTCTCTCCCTTGAGAGCTGTAGGAGTCTTACAACTGCACTCTCTCTGCAAATGAAATACCGCACCCTCTGCGTGACTTAAAGAAAGTGACAACCTCATCTCTGAATTTAAATGCCCTTAATATTTAATTCTTTCCTCTATAGGTTATAGCTTGCCTTCTCCACATTATCAAGATGATGGCTTTAGAAGGCAGGCTACTGGAGATCCAGAAAACAATATATCCCAATCCAGTTTCCTTGTGAAAATCAAAGAGCTCACTCTCTTGAATTGAAAGAGGCTGAAGGGTCACCGCTTCCCCCCAGGGTGCTGGTACAGGCAGTACTCCAGAAGGGTAATGTAAATACTCAGTATGAGGCAACAGGGCGTACCAATTTGTTTTTCAATCTGTTTTATTTCAGTTCAAAGCACCTTTGCAGACAGATAGTACAGGAAAATAAGCCACACTTTGGTTATACCCAGTCTTCCTCAATCTCCAAAAGCAGGTGAGCATTGCCAAAGTGTGGCTTGTTTCCCTGTGCTGCCTGTCTGCAATGATGCTTTGAACTGAAATAAAATAGACTGAAAAACAAATTGGTATGCCCTGGCTCTTCCTGCAGTTTTATATTATCCTTCAAAGCTAGTGTTATCACCTACTCTTTACTGGAATCCAACAGACCCAAATCACAGAGTAAAACTGCAATACTTTAAATGTGAAGGTCCCACCCAAACCTAAAATAGCAATTTAATTCAGGGCTTGGTGGTTAACATTACATTAACATGCCACTCTCCATCCAGTTCCTTGCTCCATTTGCTGGGCTGGATTACATCTTCTGATGACACGTGCAATATGGTTACTGGATACAGTTTAAAACAACACTTGACATTGCTGATCTTCCTATATGGCTTGCTCAATTTATTACTGCCTCTGTAATTTTTCATGTTCATGAACCCAAGCATCATCATTTATTTTTACCTATTCAAAAAGTCTACCAGCTTTAAAGCATTCAACATTCTGCTTAAAGTATGCAACATTATTTTGAAAACTTTTAGAGAAAACCCCAAATCATTTGCAAACCAATTCTAAAATTACTACCAACTAGAAGAAGCCTATCATTTTCTTAGAATGAAGGAATGCAAATAGTTTCAAGCTTAAAACACTAAAATGATGAAAAACGCTCTCCACAGACAGTTGTATAATTTTGTTTAAAAAATTAAATCCTATTTGGAAAAGATCCTCTCTTAACAAAACATAAAGAAAAAAAATAAGATCTGTTCTCCTCCCCCCAAAGACAGAAACACACATACACATACCCATGCACACACACTTCCCACACACACCCTCATCTGTAACATACTTCTGAATTTTTGTTATTATTTATCACTTTAAGTAAGTTTCCATTTGGGGTCAAATTTGGTTAGTTTTCTCTAATTGGAATTAAGCAATATGTGTGTAACAAAAAGAAAACACACAACAATCCTTTGAGAAGGTAACATTATCCACATTTGACAACTTAGACAATAACCTGTAACTGGCCCAAGACCATGCAGCTCTATCAGCAGTAAAGCTGGGTACAGGGCCGGGACTCAGGGCACAAGGCTGTGAAACACAACACATTCACTGGCTTCTTTCTTCTGTAACTCTCCAAGTTCTTGCCATCTCACAGTCTCTGAACCTACCGAAAAGTTCTTCCTCTCCAATTCTCTCCCCTCTCCCTTCCTTTGGACTGGATCTTGGTCACTCAACAAGTTTCAGCTTAAACTACCCAGAAGAGAGGTCTTTGGGGACTATCCTGGTAATAATAGGTGGTCTCCCAGGTCAACACTGTTTTGTTTGCTTTATAGCAGTTGCCACAATCTGGAGTAACTTTGGTACCTCTTTACTGTGTTAAGACACTCGGTTTTGGGTCCATGTTTCACCCTGATAATCATAGACACAGTGGTGCCTGGTAAATAGCAGACACTCAAATATTTGTTCAGTGAATGGCCTGGATTTATTTACTATTTACCAAATACCAGGTTGTGGGCACTGGCTAGCAGCTGATACAAGAAGAGGTGAAGTGTGGTCCCTGCCCTTCAAGACCTCCCAAGTTAGTAGGAAAGATAACAAACAGATGGAATAATTCAGGGTGGTTAGTGTGATCAGTTTAGGTTCAGATCGCAGCTCCCTTATGCATTAGCTATGACCAAGGTCATCTCTCCTGACTCTGTTTCCTCATCTTTAAAATGGGAATATTAATACTACCTATGTCATAGTGTTGGTGTGAGGATTAAAAGATAAGCCATGGAAATAACGCACATAGTGAAGTCCTTAGCACACAGGAATCACTCAATAAATATTAACTACATAATTTTATTATGATGCAATTATAATGCTGTAATTAAATCTCCACAAGCCATACAGCTATATATGAAATTATCTTTTGTTTACCTGTATGCCACCTGTCCAAGCCCCTACAGAATTTAAATTCCATGGAAGGGCAGAGATTACGTTGATCTTGTTCACCACTGTATTTTCAGGGATTTGAATCATCGCTAGTATGTTCTAGGTGCTCGACAAATACTGAATGATTAACAAATGTATGCAGGCAAGCATGGGTGTTCTGAATCTATTTGTTAGTTAAACTAGTGACGAATAGTTAGGTTTGGGAACAACTCTTATAAAAGAACAACGTCTACTAAATAAACATGTCTCCGAAGAAGATATACAGATTGCCAACAAACACATGAAAGGATGCTCAACATCATTAATCATTAGAGATATACAAATCAAAACTACAATGAGGTATCACCTCACACCAGTCAGAATGGCCATCATCAAAACATCTACAAACAATAAATGCTGGTGAGGGTGTGGAGAAAAGGGAACCCTCTTGCACTGTTGGTGGGAATGTAAATTGATACAGCCACTATGGAGAACCGTATGAAGGTTTCTTAAAAAACTAAAAACAGAACTACCATATAACCCAGCAATCCCACTACTGGGCATATACCCTAAGAAAACCATAATTCAAAACACTGTGGTCATGTACCACAATGTTCACTGCAGCACTATTTACAATAGCCAGGTCATGGAAGCAACCTAAATGCCCATCGACAGATGAATGGATAAAGAAGATGTGGTACATATATAAAATGGAATATTACTCAGCCATAAAAAGAAATGAAATTGAAATATTTGTAGTGAGGTGGATGGACCTAGAGTCTGTCATACAGAGTGAAGTAAGTCAGAAAGAGAAAAACAAATACTGTATGCTAACACATATATATGGAATGTAAAAAAAAAATGGTTCTGAAGAACCTAGGGGCAGGACAGGAATAAAGATGCAGATGTAGAGAACAGACTTGAGGACACGGGAGGGGGAAGGGTAAGCTGGAACGAAGTGATAGAGTGGCATGGACATATATACACTACCAAATGTAAAATAGATAGCTAGTGGGAAGCAGCCACATAGCACAGGGAGATCAGCTCGGTGCTCTGTAACCACCTAGAGGGGTGGGATAGAGAGGGTGGGAGGGAGATACAAGAGGGAGGGGATATGGGGATATATATATACGTAGAGCTGATTCACTTTGTGATACAGCAGAAACTAACACACCACTGTAAAGCAATTATACTCCAATAAAGATGTTAAAAATAAAAAATAAAAACGTCTAAATTAGGAAAGTGGGGTGTGGCAGAAGTTTGATGATTTAGCCAAGTAGAGAAAATTTTCAGTTGAGGCTGTAATTAAATCTCCACAAGCCATACAAAGATTTGGATTCGATTCCAAGGAAGAACCAATAGTCCCAGTTTTCGAGATGTGAAAGAATGAAGTCCAAGCAGAACGACATGGGTCCCCAGGGAAGAGCTCAATTTGCCAGACCTATAATCTATTACACTCTTAGACAGCTTAACCTCTCAGAACCTGGGCTTCCTCCTCTTACGCAAAACAGACACGGACACTTCTAAAAAGTTATTGGTACAAAAAAGCTGTGTATGAATATAAATAAGCAACTGGCTTACCGTAGGCGCTCGGTAGAATGGTATTATTTTTATTCAAAGTAGGAGAAACAATTGCATTTTGAATAATACACCAATAAGACCAGAAAAGGTAATGGAAGCCAGAGTGGTTGGTCAAATAAAGAGCTCTGGGTGCATAGGGCAGTTGTAACTCGAGTTTCCCACTCCGTGAGAAGGGACCTGAGGAATCCCTGAAGGACAACACTGACCCGGTCTACTTGTGTCTAGAGCTGGGGCCGCCACAGTTTTTCTGTGAAAGGCCAAAGGCATTTTCGGCTTCGTGCGCCAAGGGATCAAAGCCATCAGATATCTGTTGCAACTACTCAACTTTGCTCTTGTAGAAGGAAAACAGCCAAAGGCAATACATAAACCATGAACACGGCTGTGTTCCAATAAAACTTCATTTACGGACATGAGAATCTGATTTCATACAACTGTCACAAATTATGTGAAATATTCTTCACAGCCATTAAAAAAAATGTAAAACCTTCTTAGCTCCCGGCTGACAAAAACGGGGGAGGGGGAGGGGCGGATTTAGCCCAAGACCCTAACTTGCTGGGGCCCGGGGTCGGGATTTGGCGGGAGGGGAGGAGGGGTGAGAGTGCGAGAAGCAGCTGCGAGGAGTGGCCTCCGATCGCGCCGAGTAGCAGGCGACGAGGGTTGAGGGCAGGTCCCAGGCGGAGAACAGGCCCCAAGCAGGGAGTAGGCCCGGCCGAGCGTCCCGGCCGGGACCCCGTGGCCTCTCCCCGCCACAGACGACAGCGGAGCCTGCGCTCGGGGTGTAGGCCGCCCCGGGGCTCCACGTCCCGGGGCGGGGAGAGACGGCCGGGACTTGTCAGAGCGCAGCGGACTTCGCCACGCCGAGGGGTCTCTGTTCGCCCCTCATTCGGGGCGCCTCTTAGGCCACAGCTGCAAAAGGGGTCTCCACGCTGAGTCCCGGCCCCGTTTCTATGGTTACCTGTTCAGCACCGATTCAAACTGCGGTTCTTTATTGACAGCACCATAAAGGACACGAACACTCCTGCCCGAAGGGAACAATAAAGCTTTCTCCATTCAACAGCGCCAGAGACGCCAGCAGGCGGCCATTTTAAGGCCGGAGCGGAAGAGGTATAAGCAAGGAGGCGGCGGCCCGGCCTGCCCCGCGCGCCACAGTCACGTGCTGGGGGCGGGCCTCACGGGGGCGGGACGCGCGCTCTCCACCAATGCTAGCACGCTGGGACAAACCCGTTGCTAACCGCTTCTCTGACCTCTGACCCTTGACCACTCCTTCCCCTCCCTACACTCCCTTAGGAAAGTTCTAATGGGTTTCTACCATCCCTCGCCCGGGCAGCACTAAAGTTGAGATCTTATCTCAAACAACGGCAGAGAATTAGGCACAAAACATTTCTTTCCATTTTTCCAAAACAAGTTCACGTGCAAGGCGGAGACGTGACGTGAGCCGCGCCCCAGGCGCATTCTCATTGGCGGAGAGGCTTGGCTCGGACGTAATAGGCTAACGGACCCGTATCAACCAATCGTGGCGCCTTGAAGGCATTTTGGTCCCGCCTCTCCTTCCTCCCCGTTTTGGGATGTAGAGGCTTGTGGGTAAAAGCGTTAGTTTTGCTTGTGCTCCCTTTTCCCGTCGCGCACTGTCTCACCGTATACGTTCCATGTTGGAATTCTTCTCGCCACCTTCACACAGCCAAATAAATGAAGTCATATCCATACAGTATCAAATTAAGTCACATCGGCTCTGGCCCACTGAGCCTCACAATGTCTGTCTGTCCCTGACACGCAATTTTTCTGTCACTAACAGTCATGCCGCCCAAATCCAGTTGTCTCAGTACAAAGACAAGTTCCCTCTTTGGTAACAGCTGTTGCATCCACAGGGTCGATAGTGAGTCGTTCTGAGGGATGTCATTGTCGGACTGACTCCCATCACCGTTTTAATCACAAATTCAATCTACGGGGCAAAACTGTCATTTGCATTGTTGCTGTCATCCAGTTCATCATTTTTTTTTACTGTCACTGTCCAGTATGCGACCCCTCTCCATAACCACAAACTTCAAACAGTTCTGTACAATATAGCAGTTGGAATGTATGCACAGCTGTCACCCTTTCCGTTGTTTTCACATTATCACTCAACTACTTTCACTGCCACAAAATCAAGTCAATATTAGTAGACCCTAACAGGGTAAACAGCTGTCCTTGTTACTGACCATTTAGTCACTTTCACTATTATACTCACATGTCACTGTCACATTCAGGGTCAAATTTACTGTCGGCAACAGTCACTTATGTAGTCACTAGAGTCACACCTACAGCTATTGTGTCTTCTAATCACTCATTTCCACCATCTCTGCATTCTCCTTTAGTGGGAGCCCTCAATACCTGCTTGACACATTTAACAAACAAACAAACACATAGAATGGTGCTTGGCACATAGTAGGTGCTCAGGAAATATTTATCCAATCAGTGGATTTTTGAAAAGCAGTATTATTGCCAATGTACTATATAGGAATGTGGATGGCTTGATGCTTACCATTCTTAAACAACAGGAATAAGTGCAGACACAATCTGTCCTCCCTATTTAACTTAACAAGACTCTGCATCTTATAGGGACAAGAAGGAGAAAGCAGGAGAAATGTGGATATGCTGAATTCCTGGGACCATGGTTATAAAGAATTGGATGGTTTTTTAAAGTTTTCATTTCTTACTTTAAAAGGAATATATGTTTGTTGTAGAGTATTTAGAAAATATAGGAAAGACTCTTTCCTTCTAAAGGATTGTTTTATTTTTTTTAAATTTTATTGAAGTATAGTTGATTTACAATGTTGTGTTAATTTCCGCTGTACAGCAAAGAGATTCAGTTATATATATATATATTCTTTTTCATATTCTTTTCCGTTATGGCTTATTACAGGATATTGAATATAGTTCCCTGTGCTATACAGTAGGACCTTGTTGTTTATCCATTCTACACATAATAGTTTGCATCTGGTAATCCCAAACTCCCAATCCGTCCCTCCACTACCCCCACCCCACCCCTTGGCAACCACATATCTCTTCTCTACATCTGTGAGTCTGTTTCTGTTTTGTACATAAGTTCATTTGTGTCATATTTTAGATTCCACATATAAGTGATCTCATATGGTATTTGTCTTTCTGACTTACTCAATTTAGTATGCTAATCTCTAGTTCCATCCATTTTGCTGCAAATGGCATTATTTCATTCTTTCTAATGGCTGAGTAGTATTCCATTATATATATATATATATATATATATATATATATATATGCCACATCTTCTTTATCCATTCATCTGTCGATGAACAGTTAGGTTGCTTCCATGTCCTGGCTATTGTAAATAGTGCTGCTATGAACATAAGGGTGTATGTATCTTTTCAAATTATTGTTTTTTCTAGATATATGCCCATAAGTTGGGTTGCTGGATTATATGGCAACTCTATTTTTAGTTTTTTGAGGAACCTCCATCCTGTTTTCCATAGTGGCTGCACCAATTTATTCAATACATTCCCACCAACAGTGTAGGAGGGTCCCCTTTTCTCCACACCCTCTCCAGCATTTATTATTTGTAGACTTTTTAATGATGGCCATTCTGACCGGTGTGAGGTGATACCTCATTATAGTTTTGATTTGCATTTCTCTAATAATTAGGGATGATGAGCAAGCATCTCATGTGCCTATTAGTTATCTGTATGTTGAAGGATTGTTTTAGACATAACAAAGAATGTCATTCCCCAACACACTCACACACAGTCAGTGGAAAATGGCTGCAGTTCCCTTGTAATTGTTCACCTGAGGTTTTACATTATTAGAAATTCTCATGGAAATGACTTGCCTACAGTCCATGAAGAACAGTATAAGGTGATGGAGAGCAATGGCCCTGGCTTCTGGCTAGCCATCATATGGAAGAGTAAGAAACCAATGATGAGGCGCAAGAAGGAGGAGATATGGGGATATATGTATATGTATAGCTGATTCACTTTGTTATAAAGCAGAAACTAACACACCATTGTAAAGCAATTATACTCCAATAAAGATGTTTAAAAAAATCGAAGGAAAAAAAAAGAAACCAATGATGGACCCTCTAAGGACTTCATCTCTTGGGAGAGTCTCAAGAGTTTTGGAGAAATAACTTGTGCTTCCCAATCACCAAAAGGAAGGACCCAACCCTTGACCATGAGGGGGAAGGTGCTTGAGGTCTTTTCACTCTTTTTTCTACTTTGACAAAGAATGTTCCCAGGCTGATGCCTGAGGTGGCCCCAGCTAAACTACCAACTGTTTCCAGAGTGACTACTACATGCCAAGAACACTGAAGTAAATAGAACATGATCCTTGCCCAAGAAGGAAATAACACAGCCAGGACCACTTCTACTGCCAGTAGTAACAGTCATTATTTATCTCGCTCTTAGTCTCCGCCAGGTACCATGCCAAGCTCTACCTAGATTATCTCATTTAATTCCCATAACCACCAAATGAGGTAAGTAACATTATTACCCCCTTCTATACAGGAGAAAACAGACTCAGAGGAGGTAAATAATTTGCTCAGGGTCACACAGCTATTAATCAGTGGAGTTGGGGTTGAAACCTAGGAAGTCTGACTCCAGAGCCTTCACTTTTTCCCCCCAGAATAATGACTTGTGGTTTTTACAAAATATTTGTGTTCATTATAAAGAATTCAAGGATTACAGAAAAATACAAAGAAGAGAGTTAAAAACATACTCACTATAAATCTGACCACTTAGCAGCAACATATCATTATAGATGAGCATTTCTCCATCTCTGGGCAAATATATGTAGGTAGGTAGATTGGGAGATAATGATGGTAATAATGACAGTTTCCCTTCAAGAAGCACTATGAGCTGGACACTGTTCCAAGCGCTTCCTATGAATTAACACATTTAATTTACTCAGAGAGAGATGGTTAGACCCATTTTTATTAAAATGAACTCATTTAACATATTCAGTGTTCATATCAGCAGCCAACCACCTGGTGATGTTTTTCCCCAAATCTGGTTCTTTCCTCAGTCTTTGCTGTCTTCACTCTGCCTTCCAATCAAATCCTAAGCCTGGAGTCCTTGGGCTGCAAAAGCTGAGTCTTTAAATAGCACTCTCTGCACAGCTGCTGCCTGGTCAAATGTCTCTGCTGTTCCCCAAGGCGGTGGTGTTATTTGTAGAAGTGAAGTTTGCTAGAGGCTCAGCATATGCTTTTCATCTGCTAGAGTAGGTATCTGGGCCTTAGCATTCGTTTTCCTGGCTTTCTAAGTGTTAGACTTTCCCTACCCTTTTCTCCAATCCAAATGAAGCTTGGTCTTCAGATCTTGCCCAGTGGAGGCCAGAGAGTCTCAGATGAGGGTGCTGTTAGAATTTGCCAAATGACTCAGAAAGGTCAGCTTGCTC